TGCTTGACAGCTGGCTGAATATGAGCCAGCAGTGTGCCCAGGTGGCCAAGAAGGCCAACAGCATCTTGGCTTCTATCAGAAATAGTGTGGCCAGCAAGACTAGGGGAGTGATTCCTCCCCCGCCATGTACAGCCTGGTGAGGCTGCACCATGAATCCTGTGTTCAGTTTTGGGCCCTTCATTACAAGGAAGACATTGAGATGCTGGAGCATGTCCAAAGGACAGCAGCTGGTGAGGGGGTCTGGAGCACAAGTCTTATGAGGGGTGGCAGAGAGAACTGGGGTTGTTTAGCCTGGAGAAAAGGAGGCTGAGGGGAGACCTTACTGCACTCTACAGCTACCTGAAAGGAGGTTGTAGCGAGGTGGGGATCGGTCTTGAGTCCTGCCGTGTTTTATACAGTTGCTCCATCACCCAATGCCTCCTTCCCACCTGGGGTGGGGGGTGGGAAAAGGAAAAAAGATTCGTGGGTTGAAATAGAAATATATTAAATCATAAACTAATATTAAGAATAGTTATAAAATATAAGGAGTTATACTCACCCAGTATTGTGAGGGAGTAGTCCTCAGGGTTAGGGCAGTAAACAAGTACCTCTCGAGTGAAAAGGAGCAGGAGGAAAAGGCAGAGAAGGGCCGTTCCCCAGAAAATGCTCCAATTTACAGTGAATGTGACAGTGATGGTATGAACAGTATTAACTGGTCAGCCCGGGGTTGCCTTGGAGTCGACTCCCCTAGGTTTCCATTCCCCTCAGCCTCTGAATCTGTGTATCTCAAGACCTTGAGCGCTATGGCAACCTGCATACCAATATTAGCTGAAAGCTATAACAAAGTTTTATCACTTTGTTCCCATGAAATAGTGGTGTAGTCCTTACAAAATTGCAGTTTTCCTTCCTTAACAGAAAATTGACTCTAAAAATCTGTTCCACTAAACTAGAAGAACTCCCAAGTAGCAAGTGATAGGACAAGAGGAAACGGTCTCAGGTTGTGCCAGGGGAGGGTTAGTTGGGATATTAGGGTGGTATGTTTTTTTTTTTTTACACCAAAAGAGTTGTCAAGCACTGGAACAGGCTGCCCAGGGATGTGATGTAGTCATCATCCCTGGAGGTATTTCAAAGATGTGTAGATGTGGTGCTTAGGAACATGGTTTAACGGTGGACTCAGTAGAGTTAGATTAATAGCTGGACTCCATGATCTTAAAGGTCTTTTCCACCTAAATGATTAATTGATTCGAAGTTTGGCAAATTAAAACAGAATGCACCAGTAGTGTAGGTTAGGTTGCAGTAACTCTTCCTCTTGAGGCTGGAGTGCAGATGAGTTGCTGCTACCATGGGTACCGCTGCTGTACTACAGTGTGAGGCTTAATGTAAGGTATGATCAGGCAGCAGAGTGTGCCAGACATGATAAAATTTCTTCTCTTTCTTATCTAGGGAGGAGTAATCACTAATTAATGTAAAGAAAGAAAAGTAGGGAGTTAACTTACCTTATTTTTAGCTTTCTGCAATCCTGTGGAAACAGAATGCAAGGAAAAAGCACCCTTTAATTCTTTCTTGTGTTTTCTGCAAGTTACATGTGGTATTTTACCTTTTTCCCCAACTTGTTGCAAGGAAAAAGCACCCTTTAATTCTTTCTTGCGTTTTCTGCAAGTTACATGTGATATTTTACCTTTTTCCCCAACTTGTACTCAAAGTTTTCCATTGCAGAACAGGATGTATAGATTTTGCATTCCACAGGATAAACTGGATGCACTCTTGTGACTTCACTGCTGGCAGAGTAGAGGGGAGAAATTGAAGAGGCTCTCCAGATAAAAAGGTATAGGCATGTCTTTTATAGACTAAGTCTAGCTTTTGTCATCTAGTGTTAAACTGGCTCTTCTGGTAATGACTTCTGAGCACTGGGTACTTGTGAAGGATAATCTAGTGTTAAACTGGCTCTTCTGGTAATGATGAAGCACATGGTACTGGGTACTTGTGAAGGATGGGACAGTTGAGTTGTTTGTAAGTGGGTAGCAGACTGCTTAGCAGGTACAGGAAGCTCGTACCTTTTGCCAAAGTTAACAGGCTTGTCCTTGCATGCTGGGAGTTAGCTGCCTCTGGAGTTCTTGGAAGCTAAAGCACTGCATTTCTTGAGGAAACTCTTGTAGCATTGCTTCAGGTGTTGTATGGATGCCATTAGCATCATTGTGACTTACATTGTGTTGCTTACTGATGCTGTTTTTAAATAGCTTTGTTTCTTCTTTCCTCTGCTGAGGTGGTGCTTGGTACATGAATCTCCCTATCCTTTAGGGTCTTGTCCAGCTCAGCATGCCAAATCTAAGTGAACATACCTCAGCTTAGTTTGTCCTGCTGCAAATGTTCTATTAGGTGTTGACTTGACTTGTTTTGGAGAGAAAAGTAGGTTAAACTCGATCTCTTTAAGGAAAGAATTCTAATAAGTAACCTGCCTCCTGATTGATTCCAGGCTCAATTATTTATACTTGTTTGGCTTTAGAAATGTGTCTTCCTTTAGGCAGTTGTTCAATCTCCTGATGACCACTCCCTGCCTGAGGAGAGGAATCAGCAAAAAGAAAGGAGACCTGCAGGTTGAAATTAAAACAGATTTAATAAAATAATAATAAAAAACTACTATTAATGTAAAATACACAAAGATATATTCAGCCCATATAGAGGTCACAAGCTGTGTGATCCCAGCAACGAATGCTAAATAACAAACACTGCGAATGCCACAGCTTCTGCAAAAGTGCAGTGGTCACAACAAGTGGGGGAGCAGGCCTCAGGAGCAGAACCATGGGTGAGACCCTACAGAGGTGGTAACAATCAAAGAAAGAGGGTTGTCCTCAACAAACCCACCAATTTATAGTGATTGCAACACTTATAGTACGGAAAACTCCTGTTAGCCAGCTTGAGTCATCTGCCCTGGCTTTTGCCCCTCTCAACTTCTACACATGGCTACCCCAAAATTGAGGAAGACCTTTATCACTGTGGCAACCTCTGTACTGCTGACCACAAACTAAAACAAAGTGTCTTACCAACTTTGTTCCCACTAAATCGAGTGCTGTGGTCTTCTCAAAAAATGCAGCTTTCCTGAATAAGAAAACTGATTCTATGATTCTATCCCAACGAAACCAGGACAAAATGTTAGATTGATTATTTGGCTTTTGCTTACTGCCTGAAAGTAAGCAGCCACATTAAGGTTTGGTTTTGTTATGAAGTCAACATTCAGTACAATGTTTAGAAATGGGTTTTTTATCGCCTCTATTAGTACTATTAGTACTTCCAGTTCTTCTAGAACCTAATAAGCTCTTGAATATGTAAGAATATTCATGTAGTCAGAGCTCTCTTAAATGATTAAAACCAGCTTTATGTGCCAAATAGAGAGAGGGCTCTCTGTCGTCTTCTCCTATCATGGTCCCTTTCTGATTCTGCAAGATGTGCATGTTTGATCACCATAAAGGTGAGGAGGGTTTCCTTCTGTAAGGCAAGTGGTGTATTTGTGGGTGAAGACCGAGAGTTCATATCTCATTTTGTTTAGAGACTGTCTAGGAAAATGGTGAAATTATAAATATGAATAGAAAGTGAACCAGAAGGGTGAAAACTTCAAAGTGAAATCTGAAGTTTCCCTAGTATTCTGAAGACTTCTTTGAAATACCTATTAGGCCACACTTAATCAGTATCTGATGCTGAAGTGACTGATCTGTAAAAGCCTTATGGGCCTCAGCAGAAGTTGCAATAGGAGTCTTAACTCTGAGTGGAATTTCAGCGGTTGAATTCAGGACTGAGGTTGTTCATGTGGCTGCTGGCCACCTTTGACACAGCTGAAAAGTTATCTTCAGAACATGTGTTGGCTGCCTTTCCATGGGCACGCAATGGTCTAGCACAAATAAGCTTTGCAGCATGTGGTCTTGCAGGTTATTGTGGATGACTGCTTGAACAGATGAGCCACAAATGTCAACAGCCATTTTTTAATTATGATTTTTTTAATGCAAGTAGGGAAAAATTTAGCTTTTGAGAATGATCAGTATCTTGTTGTGCAAGAATAGCTATTGAAAGCTGGCAAGCTAAGTCTGAACATCTCTGTTGGGCAGTTGAGCAAGTTTTCTCCCATCCACCATGCTGTCAAACTCGCATCAGTCTTCCCAAAATGGACTTGGTGCTCTGTACTAGCCCTGAAATAAGGTCATACCCTGTGCTTGGTTTAGTTTTTCAAGTTGCTTAAAATCTTCCCATCTTTTTTTATTCATAACAACTTTAATGGTGTGACAATAAAATCGTGCTAGCTTTAGGTTTCCTAGTCTACGCCTTAAATTCCAAGAGCCTGGAAAAAAGAGAATGAGAGCTGAATTGGGTACTTAAGCTCCAGTAATAGGTCTGCTTAGGGTGCTGCTGTGGTATTTTGGTATCTTGTCCAACTGTTTCTTTTTTCTCTGTTGCTAGACTTCTACCAATCTCCACACAAAGTTTGACTGGAGGGGGCAGCATACTTAAACCTTCTTTTTAATTATGATCAATCGTTTCTGTATGAAAAAAACCTGTTTAGCGTTAGGTAGCTTTATGTATTCCTCTGGACAGTACCATGTGTTCATTAACTCTTTCTTACTCTCTTTTGAAAGGCCCTTCCTTCTTCCATGATGATAGTAGCTGTCTACTGCCCGGTGATAGCAGCTCTCTTTATCGTTTTGAAGATGGTGAATTACCGTTTGCACAGGGCACTGGATGAGGGAGAAATTGTGGAGAGGAATGCCAGTGAGCATATGGACAGAGGTGCAAAACCAGAACAAAGCAGTGTTTCAGCCAAGAGGAAAGACAGCAATGGGCCCAGGTAAGGTGTCTGCTGATTTGTGTTCTCCTTCAGATGATCAACAGTCTGGTCTTCATCAGATGTGTCACTGGAATGGTGGTTGAAATAAGTTCTGAGGAATATAGATGCAGACCTCTGTAGTTTGGAAGACTGTTTAAGTCTGATCTTTGGAAGCAAACTTACTTATGTATTAGGTTTGGGAAGATGAATTCATGCCAGTTTCCTGGTTCCTCCCTCACAGGAGTTCCAGAACAATACTGAAAGTGCTTAAAGCACTGGAACAACAGCATGGAAAATGTGTGCTGATTAGGTCTCTAAATACTTAATGAACACAACCAGTACAAGTAATCTTATTTCAGCAGTAGACTTAGTTTTAAAATCTAACTGTCAGAGACCACACACTACATGCTAATGCTTTTATGACTAAAAGGAATGTCTAATCGGATTTCAGCTTGCTTAGTTTTGCAAAAGCAGGAGTCATACAGTGCTTGACTCCAGTCATAGTTTTACTTCAGGAGAAGACTGCCCTATGAATTTGGAAATTGTGGAATTGCTCAGCTCCGTAATGAACGTGATGATTCTGAAGTACTGTCGGTAGGAGGTGATTGTTTTCCACAGAGCTTCTTTGTTGTCACCAGCATAAAAAAAAACCCCAGAGGTTTTCCTTCTCTGACCAGACTATTTGGAGAAAGAAGAGCAAAAGATGACTCATCAGCAAGGCCAGCTTAACCAGTCTGATCAGACTGTGGATGTGTTATGAGCTCTATTATCAAAGCCTCTGCTTGGCTCCAGATAATTGAGGCTATCATAAGAGCTAGACTGCATGAAATAAATCAGCCTTGAGTTGTTAGCTTTTAAAGAAGACCTTTCTCTTGTCTGTGAGTTTCTGGTACTAGTAGCCATGAACCATTTTCAAAGTGAGGCAGTTGGTATGCTGTCCTGAAGGACTTGTCTTAAGGTTGTGTGCATTTTAGTTAAAAACAAACAAAAACAAACAAACAAACTTTCACAAGGAGGCATGTGCAATAAGGAAATGTAGTTGAAAGAAGCCTCTTAGGTCTGTTTATCAGGATGCTTAAAGAAAGGAAGTGCTAGAGTGATGCTCGTTAAAATGCTCAGCCTAGAAGGAAAAGGACTTCATTGTGCATATGGGGTAGCTTCTTGTGAGACTGTTCTTCCGTGTCTGCTCTCAGCTCAGGGAGTGTATTGTTAGCACAAACAATGTGTTGGGTTCCTTTAAAGCTGATATACAGTAACTTGTATCAATCTTTTATAACCTGACCCTTTTTCCATGTTGTGTTTGGTAACTGAAGCTGCTGATTTTAATTGACTCCATTTAGATCACCATGTACCTTACTAAAACTGTATTGAGCTATTTTGCCAGAATGCTTGCCTAAATGTATATTAATACTTATTCCAACTAATAAAATTAATGAGAGTAAACTAGTGGTCTGTTCTGTTTCAACGCAGCCTTGTTAACGCATGTTTTAGCTGTGATCTTTGAATGTTTAGTTTTGGTTTGGTTTTTTTTTAAGCTGTGTAACTTTTGCTTCCAAAACAGTAGTCTAGACTTGGCAAGGGATTTCTTTCTAGTTGTACTGTGAATTACTTCTGGATGTTTCAGAAGTTCTGTTTTGTCTAAGGCGCAGTTGACGTGGGACAAGTTACTACATTATAAGCAATTGTGAGCTCAGAAGTAGAGGTTAGTTTGATGCTGTGTGTCCTGCTTGCCAACTGAAGTTTCATTAACTTTTATATGATCCTTGTTCCCACTTTCAGGTCTCTTAACTAGAACTGGGAACAAGGTCAATGCAGAAATTACGGAGTTACTTTTTGGTAAGTGGGATGTACAGTATATACTAATCTTTGCCTGGAAGCTTACAGGAACTCTGGGATAACTTTCAAACCAGTAGAGGGGATGTAGAGTGAGCGTTTAATATTGAGCTGTCACTTTGTTTAGTAAGTTAACTCAGAACACTAATAAAACTGTCTTGGAGGAAAGTATGTATGTAAGGTATGGGGGTTTTTTTGTTTGGTGGTTATGGTTTTTTTTTTGTTTTTTTTTTTTTGAAAAACTCTGCTCCCCTATCTGACAGAACTTGTGTGGTTCACATTGGTTTGTGAATAGGATCCAACTCGGAGGGTTTTTAATCTTTTCATAAAACTTTGGCTTGCTTAACTAAAGAATAGCTTTCTGTTCCCTAAGAAATGCCGTGTTTAGTTCTTTTCCTCATGCTCTTCATAAAGGTGAAATTCTCCAGTTAATGTTTTTGCAAGCAGCTACGCTTAATTTGGAGACAGGAACGCGAGTTGTCTTCTTCTGTGGCTTCTGGTGCAGTTGCTGCTTTCATACTTAAGGGGGTGGTGTTAGTAATGCTTTTGTGAGGCTTTGTGAAAACAAGTGATGTGGATACAGGCTCTTGATCTCACATAAAAGGCAGAAGGAACAGTGCAAGCATAATCTTTGTTGGTTATCAGTGTACCCACATAGATACCTTAAAACACTTAAGTCAGTCTTGCTTCTGGGGATATGGCTTTTCTGGCATCAATGACTACTAGGGTTCAAAGTATCCTAAGCCATTAACCTGGTGACACTGCAGTTGCTGATCCCCATCAGCACGGGGGAGCTGTAACCATAATACTACACGAATTTCACATGTGCTTCTACAAAAGACAACTGACAGCAGGAGAATGTAGTGTCCTAATCTGTTGCATCTTTGAGTTACATACAGTCTATTTAAAACAAGTGTGAGCAAAAGAAATAAAACCAGTACTCTCTACAACTTTTGCTCTGCCTTTGCTGTTTCTTCTCCTTGCAGTTTTCTGTGGCTGGCAGACCTGTTCTCGAGCTTGGAGTTCTTTTGCCTTTTGGACTCTTAATTAGTGAGTCAAGTTTTAAAGAAAATTTGTCTTAGTACTTGAAACTGTTATGGTCTAGCAGTTGCAGTACATGAAGAGGTCCTTCTGTGTTTTGAGAGCAGCCTCCTGACGAGTTATCCTGCTATTTTAGTTAGAAATTAAGGACAGAAGGTGGTGTTCGAAAGAAAAGAATAAAACTCATCTGCTGCTTTGTCCTGAAATCAAAATTACTCATTTCAAGTTATCTCTGGATGTTTTAGTCCAAATATCAGATTTCTTTAGGCAGTCAGCCTAAGTCAGGTTTTAAACTTCTGAATTCATACAGACTTACAGCCTCCTCAGTCTTTTGGTTAGGCTCTGACACACTAATATAATATAGCTGCAGATAGTGATTTTTAGATGGGACTTTTACTAGTAATTAGAAATAGTGGTTTTAATGTGTTTTGCACTGTCTCTAAATGCCTCATCCACAGCGATCTCCATTGCGGGCAGCTGGACATAATTTATTTGGTCTTAATTTGTGTAGTAACTTCACTTCAGGTTTTTGCTTGCAAGCTGAAAAGCATAGGACTTGCTCTGAGGTGTGAAGTGAGCAAATTAAGAAACTGTAGAACTTATTCAAAGAAAGGAATGGTCACAACACTAGCAAAAAGTCGCTCTAAAGCATTCTACATACCGTTGTAGTCCGATCCTTATGCATACAGTGTTTAATCCTAGAAATCTGTACATCCTGCTGCTTCTTGCAGAGTTTGTTATTGTTTGTTATTGGCTTTTGTTAATCCATTAGTTGTGTGCTGTCACAGAGTACAGCGGCTGTTGGGTTGTACTGTTGCTTGTGCTGGTATCTGTTGGTTCACCAGACAAAAATCATCTCCTTCTCCCACTGTGGCTGACTGCCCAGCTCTATGCATGAGAGCATCGACTCACTTTTCTACTTCACAGGACGTACTTGAGCATATGCAGTGTTTCTGAATGAATTATTCAAACATGAAGGGAATCTTTTTGTGAAAGGTGTTCTTTGTTATATCTTCAGTTGTCATCATAATGTATGCTGAACTTAAACATTAGGTGAGAGTTTTTCAGTTTAGTCTTTAACTTCAAGTTATGTCCTTATGTGTTCTTAAAATGTTTACAACTGAAAATACTTTTTTGGCTATAACTGTGGAAATTATTGAAGCTGAATTCTGTATATTTTTTTCCTTACCTGGTTCTGCCTTAGCATAATTGATAATGTCAGGTCAGAGGGGGCTCTGTAAACAGCCATCAATAAAAGCATGCTTTGTCTCATTGCTGAACAGTACCAAAATGTTGGCTTTTTTCCACATCTTTCTTCAGTTTGCTGAAGTCGGACCATAATTTTTCTGCTTCCTCATGGATTACTGTCTCTTAAATTAACTTATTTTTACTGAAGTAACATATTCCTAACTTCAGACTGTCCTTTTTGATCATCTCTGTGATGTACAAAGGTTCAGGGGCCTCTTGTATGATCTAGAATGTTTCCCAAGGTTGTACCTTTATACCTCTCTGAGATGACAACAGCTTGAAATGTCGTACTGCAAAATAAATGATGGTTTTGGGCCTTTATTCTACAGACAGTCTGTTTATAATATCCTAGATTGATGTCCATATATTGGACATCATATGTGTGTTCCTTATATTATCCATATATATGGTTGGACTCAGTGATCTTCAGGGTCTTTTCCAGCTGAAACCGTTCCGTGATGCTATATCACAGAAATGGTTAGGCGCTGGTCTCATTGCATGAGGCTTTTCTATCAGACTGGCTGTCTATCAAGCAAGTTCTGCAGTGCTTCTGTCAACTTCTGTCCCCTTCTCCAGAGGGACTTCGTCTTCAGTGTCTTTAGTCCAGCTGGAGGAGGGCTGTGCATATGTTCTTCCTCCAGCAAAACGTTGGCGTGTACTCGCCACAGCTCTGAATCATTCATTGTTGGGAGGGAGTTGTTTATCTTTGGGATGGAGCAGAGAGCAGCAGTGTCAATTCAGAAGTCTCCTGGATCACGGTGGTCGAAGAGAAGTGTATTGGGAGAGGAAAAAGGATGCCTCAACTTCTCCCTCTTTGCAGTTAACAAACAGTGCTAGCTTGGATCTCTGAGTTGCAGTCCCAAACTCATTTCACACGGTGTTTTCCTAATGGACAGGTCCAGCTTGCTTTTATTTCAGAAGTATCTGTCTTTGACAAGCTGAATTATGTTGAATTACAGTTTGATGTTGATCTTAAAAATACTTTCAAACCAATACTTAATAATCCTGAAAAGATAATATCACTAGGACATAATATCTATATTGTACCTCAAAATATTTCCTAGTGTAAATTATCTGAAGGGAAGTTATTTTCTGGTAGAAAGAAGTGGTTTTGCATGCTGGGAGAGATACAATGTCCCTGTATGTCTCTGCCTTTCCAGCAGCTTTTACTGACAGTGCGTGGCTTTCCTTTCTAACTCATCCTTTTGCTCTTGGATGCAGTCTAAGGAAAAGATTTGGAGTCCTTCCCCTGCTCTTTGAAAGAGTTCTGTTTAGTGTTACTTCTGTTGATTTATTTCTGGGTATTTTAGTAGGATAGATTATCCAAAAGTTACATGTGAATATGTATAGACAGAGAGAGCTTTATATGTCAGCATTTCAGAATGCTTTGTAGCTCCTATGTCTTCACAGTTTGTGTTGGCTGGTGACAGTGGGCTTTACAAGGCAGCAGCTTTTGTAACAGTATACATACATATATAGAGGGTATTCCAGCTCTGACTGAGCTTCCCGAGTCAAATGGGCAGTATTCGTCTGAGATACTAGCATGTATTTGAGCCCCTGATATTTGACAAGGGAAAAATTGTTTTGAATCTGCACTCAGTGTAGCCAGACAAACTCCTGTTTAACTGGTAGGTTAATGTTTTGATTTTTTTGTTTCTTTTGTTTTTCTTAGTGACCCTGGTGGAGGGATTGAGATGTCAGAGTTCATACGAGAAGCGACTCCCCCTGTTGGCTGTAGTTCACGCAATTCTTATGCTGGGGTAGATCCAAACAACCAGGTAAGAATTAAAGCTACTGCAGTTATTGCTTTAGTACTGCTGACTTTGCAATTTCTAGAGTAATCTTTGCTGGGTTTTTTTTAATTATTATTATTTTACTTCTGTTTTTTTCTAATTGTATTAGGATAAGCAACTTACTTTCTGTATTTTTTAACTGCGTTATTAGGGCATTGCACTCTCCCAGCTGCATAGCTCTTGCTCATCCCATCTTGTGTTCATTTAAAGAATGACTGGATTTTATAAGGCAACCTACTGTCCCATCAGAAAGTATTCTCTTCTGCTCAGTTAGCTTTCTTCTCATTAATAAATCACAGTGTCTCAAAGCATGATCAGATAAATACCAAGACCTACTATGATGGGCTTCCCTCTTTGTTTTGGTATCAGTGAGTTGTTGGATAGCTCAGACTGTCACTGTCATCTTTATGTTCTGACTTTGTTTTCCTCTGGTACTGTTTGATCTGTCATTTAGATGCTTAATTGGCAAACCTCAGTTGTGCTGAATTTGAGGAGGCTTCTGTGAAGTCTTCTTAGAACTTACCCTCTGCTGATTATCTCTTGCAGTGCTGACAACTTTCTGAAAGTTACTATTTCTGGTAGTTCAGGCTCTGCAGTCAAAATTGTTCATTCGCTAAAGTACAAAGCAAGGTAAACTGGTGGAAATGGAGAGATTAAAACTCTTTATTTACGATGACCTCTGCAAAATCTTCAGTGTTTTGACACTTCTACAGAGGTGGGAAGAAATAAATAAATAGAGGCTGCTGTGCGCCAGATGGAAGTGCTGAAGAACTTGGCTTTATTAGATTTTAATGCAACTTCATTATGCTCTAGTTGCCCTGTAATTTCACTGGGGAAGTCATTTTGTTTCCTTATTATGTCTACTAGATTTATGCATTCAACTTCCATAGCGCTGCATGTGATGTTCTTTCTATTTGGCTCGTGGTGTTTAGCCAGTTGTTGCATCTTTCTTTCACCAGTTCTTTGTGAGAAGGTTGACTGGCCAGACTGCAAGGTTATGTTGACAATGAGCAATGCAGCGTCAGATTAAAGACACAGAAGCCATTTTTGAATAGTGTGAAAATCCTTGGTGTGGTATTACAATATCAAGTCCTTCTAATTAGCTCTCTGAGCAAGCAGTATGTGATACAGTGCAGTGTTATGCTAATGTGGTGTTTTATCTGAATGGTGCTCTGTTATGCAGCACAGTTAAAGAGGTTTCCTCCAGAGATTTTCTCCTTTGGAGAGAGCAGGTATTTGGTAGTGTTCAAAGGAATACAAAGCCATGGTCCACGTAGGATGACAGAACTAGGCTAGGGGTCATGTTTCTTTGCTTAATCTTTGAAAAAAACCCAACTATTCCAAACATACTAACAATTTTAATGTTAAAGCACGTGAAGAAGCTCCATGCTCTTTCCTGTGTGCTGTAATGCTGACACAATAACACAGTTAAAGCTACTGTGTAAGGAAGGATAGTGTTTTACGTGTGTTTATGATGATAAAATCAGTGCTCAGTAGTCGCCTGTGATTTGAATTTGCAGCATCAAAAGGGTATTTGAAGAGTACGCATCTTGAGTTCTCAGTCTTTTTTTTTTCCCTGTGTGAATTAGCTTTCCTATGCTGATGCACTTGCATTCAGCTACAGCATTCAGCAAGGCATAAAAAGGGGGGAGAAAAAAGTCACAACATGGCAAAATTAGTAACTAAAAGAGTGTAGGACAGTGTTAGTAGAGAAAATGCATTCACGAGCTCTGGCTGCTTTTATGCATTACATGTAGTAAGGCCATTGTTCTGTAGTGTGGCTGAGTAAATTCTGCAGACGTCTTCAAATTACCTTGGATTTGCTGTGCTTACAGAGATGAGTTAGTAGAATTATACTCTCTGTTCCCCAGAGTAATTTGAACCTGGGGTGTTTGAAAAACAGTATCCCAATAAGTATACAGTGAAGTCAAATTGCTGTAACTTTTATGTATCTTTTGTTCAGATTTTGCCTTTGAGTGCTTTTCTCCTATCTTATTTCTGAGTGGTTTAATTATTTGATACATGCATTTTTGTGCACTATACAGAGTTCTTTGAGTGGTGGTGTGGGAAATATTGAAGGAGATACAAAGTTCTCTTTAGCACCTCTGCAAAATAATCCATTACAGATAATGGGATACAGAAAGGCAGACTGCAAACCTCTAAATGGCTTGTTTTCATATGAGGTGCATGCCTGCTTGTTGGCCATTGAACATGGCTGAAAGGCAGATACCATACATGTGAAATGTGATAGTGACAAATATTCCAGAATAGATCAAGGAATACTGCACAGTCTTCCAGTAACCAGTTTATTTGCTTTGAGGTGACTGTAATCTGTGTATTTGGAAACTGTCTTCTATAAGAAAAACTGCTTTTGCTGGAATGAGAGAGAGAGCAATAAGATACAGTAAAATGATTAGGTTAAATCCTTGTAACTTTATTCAGCTGCCAGCAGGACTCATGCTGTCATATTCCCCATATTCATGCTGCTGCTGCTTTCCATGTACCAACACTTAGGTTCTTGGGGTTACCTGGTCATTTGATCAACTCTGACAGACCTGGAAACTAACCCTGGAAAAAATGCATATCTTTTCCAATGGCAGCAGTTTCTGGATTTAGCTTGGTGTTTACTGTGGTCAGCAGTTAAGTTTTATATTAACATGGTGTTTTCTTTAATCATTTTAGACAATGGTGACCACTGCATTAAACATTCAGCTTTACAACAGCAGTTATTAGTGTACCATCACACTAGTAGTTTGTTTCCACATTAAGTATTTTCCAGGAAAATTCCTAGATTAGAAACTGTTTTTAAAATCAGTGTAGTAAAATCTCCAGGTACCTTGGCTGTAAAACAGAATAGTGCAGTGATAGAGGTGGATGCATAATTAGATGCCTTGTCATCTCTGCCTGCAATGGAAACATTCTGAGTCAGAGTGTGCTGCTGGATGCTTTTGTGCCTTTGAAAATCTCTCCTGGGTATGTAGGCAAATGCATGAGTTGCAGTAATAGGAAAGAACAGTTGGGTGACTCCTGAAAGTTTACAGCTTTTTACATCATTTTCTGTTTCCAGGTTGGATCTGGGTTATCTCGTCTGGGAACAGCGGCAACCATCAAAGGTGAGATTTTTGGCTACTCTTTAAAATTACCTTGTAGTGGCACTTCAAGTCACTATTGTTTACTATGTTGTTTCCAAATACTGTCTATCTTGTTCATCTTTTAACTCTTTTTGTGAGGTAAATACAGCATTTACTAATAGGAAGAAATCTTCCCTGAAGTTGTAAATTATGTGCTTAGAACACTAGGAGAGACTGTCCTGGAATCCATGCTCTGTTTTCCATGTAACAAGAGGTTTTTCCTTTGCTTGTAAACGCAGAGCCAGGGGGTTGGTTTGAGTGGACTTTTTTCCTACTGTTTTGAGTTCTCTGCAACCAATCACCCTTTTCTGGTATTGTATTTCAGTGCCTTGATTATTTCCAGTTGCTTGGCAATGGTATTGTCCAGGACAGCCCTTGTGAACTCCTCTGAGACAAAAATATAAATTACTTGTAATAAGCAAAGCTGCTATTTTGTAAATTTATTAAGACAATAATAAGACAAAAGATGGGAATTTTGTGATGAGATGTGAATTTTTCTCACCTTCCTGATTTTTTTCCTTACCTTCATCTCTGAGTATTTTGTTACTATCAACCCCTTGTTTTATTGGCAACTATGCAAAAAGGAGTATTGAATATCTATACATTCAAATAGATATATCATACAAAAAAACCCCCACTTTTATTTCTGTTTGGTTTAATCTAAGAAACTTTTCCAGCTTTTCATGAAACATCTGTGCAGTTGAATGAAAACTTTCTTGTATACAGAATGAAAGGAGTAGATGAAACTTATCTGTAAAAGAGAAATTTTGTGTTACTTGTAATTATTATTTACCTTCAAATGGAGACATAAAAGCAACAGTCTTTCATGATAGGTTAGAAATCTGCAGTGTATGTAGATGCATGTGCTAATACTTCGAGCATTAGTAGTCTTCTTTCTTAAAATTCACAGGAGACACCGACACTGCCAAGACCTCTGATGATATCAGCTTAAGTCTTGGCCAGAGTTCTAGCCTATGTAAAGAAGGGAGTGAAGACCAAGGTAAAATTTCTTTTTCTGCATATTAAATGTGTTATTTTGTTACCAAAGATGACCCTTTGCTTAACATGCTAAATAAATTAATGCAGTTTGCTGATAGACTGTAAGACAAGGGTAGCTTGAAGCTCTCTGTTTCCTTTCTTAATTACTCTTTAAGTTCCTGGGATGCATAGCTTGAATTTTATTATAGCTTAACTTCATTGTTTGGCTGTGTGTTTTGTGTTCTGGCGTCTTCCAGCAGGTAATAAATATTTACTGTCTCCTTACTGCTGAAAGATAGCTAGCTTACATGTCTTTAGATTATCCCAGTCATACTGAAAGCGGCCTGGGATTCATGGACTTCCTTGTAGACTAACCTGCTTTGCTTTCCAGTGCAGCCAGATGATTTTTAAATCAGACATGCTTTTCTGTAAAGTAAATAATCCTGCAGGTTGCTGTTTCTGGAGTTCTCTACTGCTTCTAATACACAAGCTATCAGAGTTTTGTAATTGTTTTTTCCTAGTATGTAAGGAAACTGCTAGCTTGTATGTTGTCCAGTTTCGTTTCAGATCTCATTTTTTACTTAGCCACATTACCAGAAAACAATCTGCTCAGACTAAAACAGAGGATAAAACCGTAGGGAAGTCTTCTGTTTGCTGATTTTGAAGTGCCTGGTGATTAGCAGGAAGTCAACTTTGGGAATACTGTAGTTCATTGTGGCCAATATAGCCAGACTGATGGATTCCTTTCAGTCACTACTGCATGATTTGGTGCAGAAGTATGTTTAAAATAGGGGATTACAGGTGGCCGTGCTGCTGTAATAGGCAGCAGGGTTCTACTACTTCCAGCTGAGTAACAGAACTGTTTGTGAAGCCTCTTAAGATACACATGTGCAAATACACTCTCAGAAATTTAGTAATTGTAGTAACTTAACTTGGCCTCCAGATCTACTTCTAGTGACAATACCAAAAAGGAAAGTCGCCTGACTTCCAGTACTACCTGCAGGTAGACAATTTTACAGGAGACTTGTGATGAATAACAGAAACAATTGTTCTAACTGAAGGCTAACAGCAAATCCTCACCATTTGCTTTAACAGCACCAGTTTTAAAGGTAGTAAAGCTCCTTAAATTTGTAGGGAGTTTTCATTGTAGTACCAACAGACCTGTGCCAGTGCCTGCATCCTAACTGAGAGCTTACTTAGTATGTGGTAGGAAAGGTGGGTTTTGTTGGGTTTTGTTGTGACTTCAAAGTTAGTGTGGTTTGCTGTTTTCTTTAATAATTTTAAAGTTGATGTGAAACAGTTTACTGCATGTAGGAAATAAAAGGTAGGGTATCCTTTTATAATTAAGAAACTTTGGGATACCTAAATCCATTGTCTGAGACACATGAGCAATAGAGGAAGTTTGGGACTTGTCAGAATCATGTTCTTTTATTAGGAACTAACGTTAAGCTGCTGTCGATGGTTTCATTTTTTATTAAAAAAGTCTCTTGTCAGATTTGCCCAGATACTAGGAAGTCTTTAAATGGCAGTGTGATTGATGACAAATTCTTTTGCAAGTACTGTTTATTTGTTATAAACAAGCAGTTATAAGTCAGACTGTGTAACTTGCATGAACACGCTACATGAATATTTTTAAATATGTACTTTGAACAGATTTGGCAACTGATCGGAAGCTTTTTCGTCTGGTGTCGAACGACTCGTTTGTCTCCATCCAACCTTCATTATCCTCTGGACAGGATTTGCCAAGAGACAACAGTGACAAAGTGTGCCTCTCGAACAACCAGCTTGTGGACCAGTCTAAAAGCAGTGCGTGTGACGCAGAAGTAGCTTCGCTTGTAACTCTTCATTCTCACTCCTATAGGAAGGATCATAGACCACGAGGTGTACCAAGGACTTCTAGTTCTGCTGTCGCTTTTCCAGATGCTTCATTAAATGACTTCCCACTCTATCAGCAAAGGCGAGGACTAGATCCTGTCAGTGAGTTAGAAGCTTCCAAGCCCCCTTCCGGATCCAGGGAGTCCTTGGCTGAGAACTCTTGCATTTCAGGAGTCTTTCAATTAGATGACATTCTGAAAAGTAGCAGCCCTCAACCATTGGCTAAGAGTGGGAAGTGCAAATCCTTGAAAGCAGACAAAAGCGTGGACAGTCTGAGAAGCCTGAGTACTAGAAGCAGTGGTTCAACAGAAAGCTACTGCAGTGGGACTGATCGTGACACTAACAGTACCATCAGTAGCTATAAAAGTGAACATACTAGCTCGACGCATATAGAAAGTGTGTTGTCAGAGCACGAGGAGGAGTCTCCTAGAGAAGAGAAAAGGAATGATCAGAAAAAGGACTGTGGTGTTGATTCAGATGACAGTAGTTCTACTACTGACAAAAGGACTAGTAGCGAAAGGACTGCTGTGGAAGTGAGCACTAACAGTGGTGTTCAGGAGGTAAAGGGTTCTAACGCATCTGATGAGATGCACAGTCAGAAAGGTCTTGGTGCCTCTGCTTCAGAAGAGGCCAACAAGAACCCACATGCCAATGAATTGACTACGCAAGCCGACAGGCCACCTGGGAAGGCTGCTGAACAAAGAGAGGAGCAGAGTGAGAAACTAGCTGTGTTGGTAGATACAAGAGCCTCTAAAGAAATGAGTGGAAAACAGAAGGAAGGAGATGTTCGACCAAAATCTTCCAGCTTAATACATCGAACAGCATCTACTCACAAGTCCAGCCGCAGAAGGACAGGAAAAAAGCGGGCTAGTAGTTTTGATTCAAGTCGACACAGGGAATACGTTTCCTTCCAAGGTGTATCTGGTACTAAACCTCACAGTGCTGTGTTTTGTCACGATGAGGACTCCAGTGATCAAAGTGACTTGAGCAGGACATCAAGTATGCAGTCGGCTCACCAGTTCAGCAGCGATAGCTCTTCCAGCACCACCTCCCATTCATGCCAGTCTCCCGAGGGAAAGTACAGTGCTCTAAAGACCAAATACGTTTCTAAAGAGCGTGGGGGCGCAGACTCTGAAAACGCTCACAAAACCCATGTAAGCTCTGAGGGAATTAGCAAAAAACGGTCTACACGTCGGACTTCTAGCACAAACAGTGCCAAGAATCGTGCCAGAGTATTAAGCCTGGACAGCGGTACTGTAGCTTGTTTAAATGACCCAAATAGTTTAATGGCACCAGGTAACATAAAACAGTTAACCACTTCAAAATCTGATTTGGAAGCCAAAGAAGGAGAGGTGCTAGATGAGCTATCTCTTTTGGGAAGGGCTTCACACTTAGAGTCAGTCACTCGTTCTAGGAATAGCTTACCAAGCCAGGCTACGTTTCCTGAAGGGGAAGAGCAAGAATCGGCAAGTGGAGGTAAGTGAATGATCTACCAGAAGTACCTTGCTGTATTTTGTTCATGAGCCTGGGATCTGTGACTTAAGTTGCTACTAAACTTAAATGTCTTCCTGATTCTTTGTTCTTGCCTAGTAAAACTGACAAGGCGCTTCCTTCATAATCTCTTGGAAGATCTGCAGAAATGGGAGTTGAATTCAAAACAATATATGAAATCCATAGGTGGAGGTGTCGGGTTTGTAACTGGCAGTCTTTATTAACCAGAGCTGTATCTTAAAGTTATTTGTGACCGAATCAGACCTACTCTGTTGTATTACTCAAACTTCAGATTACGTGTACTATTTTTTAACAATAAAATGTTAAATCATACTACCTTTTGTTTGAAAGGTAGTATGATTTAGAAAACTGGGACCATGGAAGTAGTTGTTTGAAGTTAATGCTGCCTCTTAGATAAACTCTCTGACGTGGCTTGAGGTGATTGATATAAAAAAAACCCAAACAAACCCAAGCCACTTTACCATGCTGCCTTGACCTGTGCATTCTTACCATGGTCTGGTTACTAAGCTGAATTCTCCTAGGGATTTGATTTTGCTTAGCCTTGCCATTTGTGGCTAGACAGTGTTCCTTCCTTTGGGTTTGTGGGTTGTTGTTTTTCCCCTCTTCATTATGAGAACACAATAACTTTCCTGTGCTGGAGAGAGAAACGTAGTTTCCTCTTACTTTCTAGAACTTTTGCTTTGCTTGGTGTAGTGTGAGTACTAAGCTTACCTGTAGTATCTGGTATTAATATAGATTTATAGGGGCATTAAAAAAATAGAGCTCTTAATAGTTTCTTTGTTTATCGTTTGTTATGACATTGCAATCTCTCTTCTTGGCGAACCATATTGACTGCCTTAACTGGAAGGCTTTTTGTGTCATGGAAGATAAGTGGGTTTAAAATACGTTTTCAGAGCAGTAATGGCATTGCCGATTAACTCAGTCCAACTTTTGGGTTTGTTTGAGGGGAATACTTACACACAATGAAGCACATATGCTTCATAAAACTGTATTTTAGATCGACACATATGTGTTGTTAAGAAGTTGTAGCAAATGTCTTGTCCTTGTTATTTAGCAAAGTATAGTGTCTGTTCCATCTTAAAAGGAGAGATTTCCAGCTCGGTGAGATGAGATATGACTAACAGTTCTTTCAGTTGGTGCTTGTTGTTCTTTTTCTCTTCTGACACTGACATAAGAAAAAAAACCCTAAAAATCAGTACAGTAAATTTGGTGGGGAAGAGAGAGGGGAAAGTGTGCTACACTGAAGTTCAGCTGTGTATTGTTTACTGATCAGATTTGACTGGTTTACAATTAGTTCAGACAGATTTAGATACCTTCACTTAATCTGTATATATTATATATATCATATATATTAATCTTCACTATATATATAGAATTATTTCTGTGATTAACCTGCACAATGATCTGTATACATTGGTTCTTTCTGTTATTGCTAGTAACAGTTCTGCAGTAGCTTTAATGAAACAGGCCAGGTTGCTCTTTCAGTACTAGCCCTGCAAGCTAAACACTTAACGCACATTCTTATTATGCCTTGTTAGAGTGAAAGATCTTTGTCTACTGAGAGTAATTTAACTAATAAAAGGTCTGCTTTCTGTATTTACCGTTTTGGCTCTTAATCTCTCCTTAGCACAAGATGTAATTTCGTTATGGTTTGTGTTACTACAGCTTAAAACTGCTGGGGTTCTCTACTTCTGTGCAAAGGAGGATTAATGTACCTCACCTTACAGAACCAGGCAGACTTCATATGCACTCACCAGTTGTCAGCAGTCCGAAAGAATTGGTGCATGGCTGTTGCTGTGTATTGCTAAATATTCTGATAGCTCTTTTAAAGAGTGAAATGGTGGGGAGAACCAACCCTAACACACTTAGAAGCAATCTTAAAGATGCAAATCTGTAGCAGCTTAAGCAGGGGAGGCTTGCTGGCATTCTTGCCAGACAGTTCCCATCAGTTTCTGCTTTAAATTTTGTTTAGATAATGGTTATTCTGAAATAGTTAGTTAGGGTTTTTAATAAATGGCATGCACCCAAGTATTACTTGTCCATGAGTTTCAGGCAGACTTAAAGAACCAGATGGATTTTGTTTCTCCAGATTTGGTGACATCAAATGATGGTTTCTTACTAGAATAGGAAATATTTCTGTTATGGCTGTAAGGAATTAATGCCATTCTGCTTTTCTTGAAAGAACAACAAAAATATCACTTGCTTTTCTTTAGCATTACTTAAATATTTATGCATCAAGCCTGTAATAATTTTGAATTAATTAATGTTCATTATTGAGCTGAATAATTCCTTAGTGTTGTCCTTCGTTTCTGCTGGTTTTTCTTTTGTGTGTTTTTTTTGTTTGATTCCCTCACCCCCCAATTGATAGCTTACGTTACAGATTTTGTAACAGCTGTATCTTTAATTGGGTCTTTTTTCTCTGGGCTTACCTGTGACTGATAGTAATCGGAGAAGATGTTTTAACTTTTCGCAATCTAAGTTGCTTTATATTCAGTATTTCCCACTACTGAGTTGTCTTCCCCCTTTGGGCGTGCATGTGTAATATAAATATCCATCATATGTGTTTTATGTGTATAGAAATTACTTGAGAAAATGAAGCTCTTTTTTTTAGATGTAGCGGATGAATTGCAGAATAAACTTGGTTTATTCAGATTTTCATAAGATCAGAGGATATTGGTTAGATGGGGTTTTCTGGTTGTCAGGTCCAACCTCCCGCTGAAAGGATTATTTTATTACTTTATAGAAATATTTTTTAATTGCTTATTTGATTGCTTATGATAACTTTCTGAATCAAATAATTAACAGATGCACGCTGGGTAACCAAAAGACTGATATTAATACCACCTCTCTTTCAGTCAGCAGCTTTCAGTTCCTGTTTTTAAAATATTACTTAGTAATTTTAACTTCATTTTATATTTAAGTCTTTAGGGGCTAAACTAAAATGTAGGTTTGTACTTGTTTGTGTAATTGCTAAAGCTTGTTTCATAATGGCTATGGGCTGTAGTAATATTTACTGAGCAGGATGCTTAACAAACCTGTCCATATTTTACTTCAGTAAATACAACTTAGCAGTTTCATTTCTATCTCATGCCAGGAAGTGGTGAGTGACTCACTTTTTTTACAAGATAACTTGTACATTTGAATAGAAATTGCAGTTCATTAAAATGCAGACAAATGGCATTTGAAGATTCTGTAACTAATTACATGTGGTGGATATATAATAAAAGGTGGAAGATGTCTTACAATAGCTGTTACCCTTATTTAACTACCCAGCTGCTGAAAGTAGTGGGTAACTGATGGGGTTTGGTTTAGATGGAGCTGTTTGGATATGTAAAAATGTTTGCCTAGTGATATTTTGGAAGTACCCCCTTGATATTCTTCCATGCCTTGTTTCTGTCAGCCGTTCGCTGTTCCTGGATTGCTGTTGGTAACGATTTAAAGAACCAACATAATGCCATATATGACACAGTGATGTGAGCTGGCCCGGAAAGTCAAGTGTTCTTCAGTTCAACTGTAAAAGATGCACCCTTTAGGTTGCTACTCCCTTTTTCAGCTTTTAACGTTTTACTTTAGGTTCTTGAGTTACATACCTTTTGTAAATAAAACTGCATGTAATGTAATGCATTTTCCCTTCTGTGCATTGCATAGGGATACTGAAGTTACAGGTCATACTGTTTTGTGGTTTGTGGTCTGCAGTACATCTCTACAGGCAGGCCAAATAGGGTTTTGGATTAGAATCTCGCATTTCATCTGGCACATCGAAACCTGTTTACCTTTTCAGTATGTGTGTATTTGTACATGTATGCTTAGCATATCTGCCTGTAATCATTACTGTCATCTCCAAAGATAGAAGTACAGTTTAGTTCTCTGCTATCCAGCCAACAGTCATGGATATCCCTTTCTTCCTCCTATGCTTATATTGCATATGGTCTACAGTCGTTCACTTGCTTTGCCTGTGTTGTAGAGCTGCTCCATGCTTCTCATGGCTTTAGTTTGATGGGCTTTGTGCAGGTGGAATTAAAACAGTTATAGAAGATGGGGCTTCTGGTCAGTTCTGAGAGTCCTGTCAGTTCACATTCAAACTGCTAAACCAGTCTTACATGAGAAATCAAACTCTGAAAGAGTTTAAAAATGGTAGAAACTGAAAAATAAATCAGGTTACTGTAATCTACTTGTGTATATGTTAGCTGTCTCTGTTCATGT